CTCCAGAAGCCCTGACCTGTAGAACCTCCAAGCCTATACTGAGGTGAACTCCATCTAACTCCCAAGCTGACTCATCCCAGGTTGCTACTCAGTATCTAAAAAAACAACACACCTAGCTAACCTAGAGGGCGTTACAAGTATAACGTCATATTACCCAAGTAGAAAAATAAAGTTTTTTTCTATACTAAATAATAAACACCAACATAAATTATATACAGTGTCTGAGGAACTGAATAAAGAGAGCCTGTGCTTTGTCTGTTCTAGGTTAAGTAATAGGTTCACTACATAAATGGCAACATAAACAGCCAGGAGTTACTTTCAATGTGCTCTCTTGGTGCTTTAATCCAACAACAGACTACCCAAAAATTCCTATCCTAGCTTTGACTTTCTGAAAGTGAAAATATACAGGGGTTAGACAAAAAAATGGAAATACTGCATGATTTGCAGGCGTAAAAGTGACAACATGTTTCGCATTGAAAGAGGAAGAGAAGTAACATTCTTTGCTTCTGCTGTGTGATAAGACACCTAGCTAACAGGTAGGAAACCTTATTTTCATTATTCACTGCATGCACTGCTAGTAATACAGAGTCATGTCAGAGTTTATTGAGTTTCAAAGAAGGCAAATTGTTGGTGCCTGCTTAACTGGTGGCTCTGTGACTGAAGTTGCCAATTAATTTGCCGTGTCTCAAGGTACAATATCAAAGGATATGAAGGCATATACAGTTCCCGGGAAAACGTTGCCTGATAAACATAAGCATGGTCGGCATGGTGAACTGACTAAAAAAAAATTGTTCAGGATTGTGACCCGGAATAAAAAATTGACTTCAAAGCTCAATCCCAGTCTTCCAAAGCCTGTGTCCACACAAACTGTACAGAAGGAACTCCATAAGCCAAATATTTATGGGTGAGCTGCCATTGCCAAACCATTAGTGACCAATATTAATGCTCAGACGAGGAAGAGTGGTGCAATACCCATAAATCGTGGACTATCAATCAATGGAAAACTGTAATATGGTCCGATGAATCGAGCTTCACACTGTTCCCAACCACTGGTAGCAAACACCACCTCAAGCTTATGGCCAGGATTGTTTTGTGCCAACAGTAAAGCATGGTGGTCACTATGTTCAGTTTTGGAATGGAAGGCTTGGGCTCGTTTTCCGCCTCTGGCATCTCTTCAAGTACAATTTTTGCATGAAAAGTGCTATCAAATTCAATTATCCACATTCCATCTTGGATGCCATATTTGGTAACGATTTTATTCTTTTTTTTTTCCATGAAAACGTTTATTACTGTATATATATATACAATATACAGAAAAGGCAAAATGTTTGTATTTTACAATAAATCCAAAAAGTGCAGCAGTAGGCACATTAAAAAATGAAAAATGGGTAACATCCAGATGAATGACACAGCTATACCAAGGTATCAAAAGTAGAAAATGCAACAATTCTCCTGCAGGTAATCTCAATGCAGCTACATACCTAAGTGCAAGACAAGAAATCTTATTGAAGAATTTTGAATTCTTGAATAGACAGGATAGACAAGAATTACAAGAATAGACAAGAATTTTATTCTTTTATCTGTTTTTTCCATAATTTTGTTCAACCCCTGTACAGGGCTCTGCATTCTCTTACTCTATTCCTGAGTATGACAACCCTCAATCTTAAAGGCTAGCAGTTTAAGCACCAAATTCTGTACTTAGGTAGTGGGAGATAATATGTGATCCCTGATAACCAAACATACCTAGTATTTGATAGGACTGCTTATGGTTTCTTTGCATGGAATGGGCAAAGAACAGGTTACATTTTACAGTAAGACTGAGAAACACAGTGTGTTAAAGTTATATATTGTATATATATATATATATATATATATATATATACTATATATACACACCTTAAACTGCTTAAATTACAAAGGAAACTGGCAAAATGGGGGAGTTTTACCACTTTGGATTGGTAGTGTAAATATAAACATATGTGTGCGCAGGGGCAGACTGACAACTCATGGGGCCCCCGGGCTATAGGGGATCATGGGGCCCCTATGTCCTTGCCCAAACTCAAAAAAGCCTAAGAAAAAGGTACCAGGGGCATCTCATGGGGCCCCCCACTGACCCTGGGCCCTCGGGCAGTGCCTGAGTTTCCAAATGGTCAGTCCCCCCCTGTGTGTGTGTGTGTATATATATATATGTATATTATGGGCTATTTCTAGCTTTGTGTAACACACGGATTGAAAATGCACAGTTTAATTTAATATACATTTTGAAATTTGAATCTTTTCACCTTTACAAGGCACAAAGCATTTCAAGTGCCTGGCAGAGAAGTGCTGTTAGGACTGATAAATGGCTTTTACACTTAAAGATGACACTGGAATCATAAAAGACTTATGTAAATACAGATAAATGCTCATAAGTGTTTTCATGAAATAATGCAGCCAAGGCAGATGGAAATATTCCAGAAAGATTAGATGACTAAAAAATCATCCCATAGTCGAACAGTAATAGAACATGAATGTGCATCTTGCTGAGGCAAATAATATAGTATAATATGCAGAAACAAACAGAAGGTTGGGTTTCACACAATTCATTTGTCAAACAATATGAAGCAATAGGCTTAATTCACTAACCTGTTTTTCGCGTGTTCTGGTGTTACTGACCTAATTGTCAGATCTCATATCACAAACACATACATCATGCTTTATTTAGTCAGCTCTGTATGTAGAGGTATGTCACCATTACTGGTGCTATAATATCCCTGTGTGTGATTTTATCATCTCTTATGAAAAAATCAATTCACAAAAATTACCACACTGGCAATTACCCCTTAAAATAACACCAGTTTCAGGGTAGTGATAACCGGGAGTTTCAATAGCTTATACCTCCCAACTTTAGAACTTAGAGAAGTAGGGAAACGGGGACCTGCGGTGCGCATAGCATGCCATGGCAAAAAGTGGGTGTGGTTGAAAGTGAGTGTGGTTAAATTATGATGGCCAGGAGGGGGCAATCTTCCTCACAATCAGGGGCATTGCTTGGATTGTGAAATAAATGAGGCACCTTTTTGCACCCTAGGGAGAGTAGTTGTGTGGTGCACACACCACATGGTGGTCAAACTGTTAACAGTAGGAGAGGCTTAAGGGGCATGGTTAAACAAAACCTGTGCTACCTTTTACCTATAAAATATGTTTTGACTGCTGTGCCACAATCAATAATCTTACAAAAATATATAAACCTCTACACAACTATTTTTTTACAGGCAACTGGAACCTCCTCCTGTGCTTGGAACTGAGCGCACCCTGTAGGAGAAGCGGGGTAGGTGCTCTGGGTGCCTGGAAGGAGCGAGTGCCTGTGAGGTGCATTAGTGGAGCCCAGGGCTGGAACTTGTTCTGACACTGGGCTCTGGGACTCCAACCCAGATGCGTGGGTAATGGTTGTCTGTGGAGGAGTGAAGGAAAGAAAGCTGTTTGAGGTAATGATCATATACTACAGGTTGTGAGCCCTTCCCACATACATTTTTAATATTTTTGGGGTATATATATTTTTCTATATGTCTTCAGGCTATTCATGCAATATCACAGGTCTTCTTCTCCTTGTGTTGCCAGTCCTGAGCATTGTTCTCTATTACATTCACCCTTAGAGGGTGTTTCCTTGACACTGAGCTTACAGGAAGGGTGTGTGTGTGCGCTGCAGAATGTAGAAGGAGAAGAATCTGGGGACAGTGCTGAAGCATAGTTGGGCAACTAGTTGGCAACTGGAGCATAGTTGTGTTTGGCAACTTTTTAAAATACAAGAGCAGAAGAGGAGAGTATTTAAATCATTTGTAGTTGTGCTTTAATAAGTTACAAATGAAATTAGCTTCTTTCAGTGCTTTGGCATCTTTGCCTTTACTGGGATGATTTCTCCTTGTTTCCTGTCAATAAAAGTAGTTTATCATTTAGGTGGTACAGGAGTATAGCGGCCCTTGCTCCACCTTATATACACAAGCACACACCCACCTGAGAGTAAGGGACCATATTTTTCTGGTTGTAGTCTGCCAGACAGCAGTTGGCTGTTCAGAAACAATGATTTACAAACAAGTTTATATTTATCATTACATGACACAAAAAAAATGGTTTAGTGTCTGTTCACTGGATGTGCACTGGATGCGGAACAGCCCAGTGTATTTTCTAAGAAGGAAAAATGCTATCATGCAAATTCTTGAGGTTTTATTTTTATTTGTTTTTCTTGGAGAAGAGGCCAGGGACAATCTAATCCTCCTAGCAGCTGTAAGCTGAGACAAGGTGGATCTCTACTTAAGGAATTTATCAACTTTGAGAAAGAATTTAATTTAGCAGGTGTTTGAAATGGAAAACAAAACTCAAAAGGAACACCTATGAATAAAAAAGAGCATGGAAACTCAAGCTTGAAGTCAGTTTTAAAATTTAACTCCACACTTTGTTTGCTATTGTAGCGGTAAGAAGGGACCAAGCCAGCGTAGATACACTAGATTGCCAAAAGTATTGGGACGCCTGCCTTTACACAGACATGAACTTTAATTGCATCCCAGTCTTAGTTTGTAGGGTTCAATATTGAGTTAGCCCACCTTTTGCAGCTATACCAACTTCAACTCTTCTGGGAAGGCTGTCCACAAGGTTTAGGAGTGCATCAATGGGAATGTTTGACCATTCTTCCAGAAGCGCATTTGTGAGGTCAGGTACTGATATCGGACGAGAAGGCCTGGCTCACAGTCCCTGCTCTAATTCATCCCAAAGGTGTACTATCAGGTTGAGGTCAGGGCTCAGCTTGCTCATCCATGTCTTTATGGACCTTACTTTGTGCACTGGTGCGCAATCATGTTGGAACAGGAAGGGGAAATCCCCAAACCGTTCCCACAAAGTTGGAAGCATGAAATTATCCAAAATGTCTTGGTATGCTGATATCTTAAGAGCTCCTTTCACTGGAACTAAGGGGCCAAGCCCAACCCCTGGAAAACAACCCCACACCATAATCCCCCCTCCACTAAACTTTACACTTGGCACAATGCAGTCAGGCAAGTACCATTCTCCTGGCAACAGCCAAACCCAGACACATCCTTTGGATTTCCAGATAGAGAAGTGTAATTCTTCACTCCAGAGAACAAGTTTCCACTGCTCTAGAGTCCAGTGGTGGTGTGCTTTACACCACTGCATCCAAAGCTTTGCATTGCACTTGGTGACACAAGGCGTGGATACAGCTGCTCGGCCATGGAAACCCATTCCATGAAGTTCACTATGCACTATTGTTATGCTAATCTGAAGGCCACATGAAGTTTGGAGGTCTTTAGCTATTGACTCTGCAGACAATGAGCGACTTCTGCACACTGTGCGCTTCAGCTTGCACTGACCCCACTCTGTCTTTTTACGTGGCCTACCACTTAGTGGCTGAGTTGCTGTTGTTCCCAGTTGCTTCCACTTTGTTATAATACCACTAACAGTTGACCGTGGAAAATTTAGTAGCAAGGAAATTTCATGGATAGACCTATCACAGTACCACGCTTGAATTCACTGAGCTCCTGAGAGCGACCCATTCTTTCACAAATGTTTGTAGAAGCCGTCTGCATGCCTAGGTGCTTGATTTTATACGCCTGTGGCCATGGAGGTGATGCGAGCACCTGAGCCAATGATTTGGAGGAGTATCCCAATACTTTTGGCAATATAGTGTATATGAGAGACCACTAACTCCCATCACTTTTGTTACCATCTGTAATTTGTTTAAAATGTAAAGTGAAATTTAGGATATGCTATTATTGGAAGCATGGTATGTGCTTAAAGTGGTTGTAAACCCTTACATATACCCAGTGAAGTGACTGGCCTCAGGTGATACACAGAGATTAAATAAATCCTCCTACATAATGTGTACCTGTCTATCTGCAGTTTTCTCTTCTCTACATTCATTTAAAGTCCAGAACTTATACAAACTGTCTGAGAGTTCAGAAAAAAGGGGGCGGAGATCTGAAATTACATTCTGCAGAGCTCAGTGAAGGGAGCGCTGAGAGTTGATTGGAGGGAAGAGACACACCCCCTCCACACAGCTCACAGGAATAGAACTGAGGATGTCAATCTGCTGGAGCTCGCTCCCGTCATCAATTTTCTGTTTCAAGAAAACATTTTAAAATGTCATTCATGCTGATAGCAGAGGAACAAAGCAGCAAACAGAAATGACACTTAGTGCTCTTAATTGAGACAAGTACACACTATAGAAAGATATGCTTTGTTCATATTTCATGTGTGAGGTTTACAACCACTTTATCTTATTGGTCCATGCAGTCTACTAACTAATAACATTTATTTTTTCAACAGAAGTGAGAAAGAATTACCTCATTTGTCAGATCTTTATATTTTTCTGTGGATCTGATAAGTAGATTTCCACTAATTTCCTTTTTATGGTGACAATGTTATATTTAGTTATTTTAGTCTTTTTACTCTTTTTATAATATAATATCTAATGTTTTAATTAGGCAAAGTTTTGCTTTTAAAAGGGTTGTGTTGGAATAATCTGTGACTAATGGTATGTTTTTGCTGTAATTCAGGGCTGGAAAATATCCCATACCAGTTCATAAAAAATATTTATTGTTATGTTAGTCTCCACACCCACCATTTAAGCAATCACTCATAGTACAACAGAAGTATGATTTAAGCTGAAGGAAAAGGGAAGATTCTAAAATGCAACTACCTTAGGGATGCTCAGATCTAAAGGGTGCAATGAATCGTTTGTTGTGTTTTTTGCAGACATAAACCATGGCTGCTGAGGTCTTCGACAAGCTTTGATGTTCTTTGATCCATTTCCATCAGTGGCACCCTGAACAACGTTGTACTGGCCAACATAGGGATTTTAAAAAACTTGGATTAAACTCTGCACCCAGTGCTTATCTGTACATAATTTAACCCCAAGGTGAAATCAATTACATTTATATAGTAAAATGGAGCAAAGGCTGCTACAATTCTTACTATGGGTCTAGTAACTGGGAGAGCAATGCAAACATGGGAAAGCTACCACATGGCCATTTTCTGAATGGTTCAAAGCTGATTAAATTATTCTGCACTCAACTGGTGCAAAGGTCTGCAAAGGTCTCATAGAAAGCCACTGTCCCAGTACTTTAAATCCTATTTTTCTCTTTAATTTTAGATTATAAGCAATCAATTACAAAGGAAATTGCTTTAAACAAGAGGTGGATAAATCATCTGTGTTTTCTGAACCTTTGTCAGGGAGAAGCGGTTGAAATCAATGGGATAGCCAACCTGAATATAAATAAATAAAAATAATAAATGCTTATCGGGGAACATGAGGGATTTGCACAACATAAAGCAGTTGCAAATGCATAGCCATCTGCACAAAATAGCATACATATTGAAACTCAAATTAATGTTAACATGGGAAATTAACCACTTGCCCTCCAGAGGATTTACCCCCCTTCCTGACCAGGCCAGTTTTTGTGATACGGCGCTGCGTTACTAGGTGCTGGCAGGGAATCTCCAGCTGGGACCCAGTGATTGACATCTGTAGCCACCAATGGCAGTGCGGGTAGGGCAGCACGCTGAGTGAGTGCCCCCTACCTGGAAATGCACAATCACGTATATATACATGATTTTGTGCAGCTGTGCTGCCCTGTAGTAGTTCTGCTACAGGGTAGTATGGAAGCAATTAACAAAAGGAGAAAGTATGTCTAAACCACAAGTTTGTGAAGAGGCTAACTGATCTCAGTATGTGCATTGGCAAACTAGGCCTTGCTAAGTTTGAATCTCCTCACACCTTATGTAATCCTTAAATCATGGTCATTTTCTTGAGCTTGTATAGAACTTCCCTCAGCGTAGCTGTTTGATTGTTTGTGTCCGACTGCCCTACTCCAGTGAAGACTCGCCCTTTACCTGACACAGAGTAACACTGACACACTTAGAACTGTTGTGATGTGCTTCATTGAACGGGAAATGCCGTTAGGGGAGTTTGGGTAGGAAGCAAAGAAAAATGACAGTTCAATACAAACAAGGTTACAGCAATTTAAAATGCAAAGTATTAGAACCATCCTAGCTACAAGCACAGACAAATATCAGACAAGCACAATGACAAAAGACTCACAAATAAACAACATATATGTGTTTCAGAACTGACAAGCCAATGGCCAGTGGAGAATATTTGTTACTTAGTCCTGCCATTGATGGGTCCTTAACTCTTGGGGGAGCGCTCACTTTCGACTGAGAAATTTGAAATCTATACGGGAGGTTAAAGCTGTAGTAAAAGTCATTTCTACAAAGGGAAATAATGGGTCCCCCGGGAGGTTAAAGACATAATGTACTAGTATGCACTGCATACTAGTATATTATGACAGACCTACTTGCAAACGGAGTCCTCCAGCACTGCGCTGTCAGGGCTCTCCTTGGTCCCCAGAGCTTCCATCTTCCCCTAGCCTTCCTACCTTAAGTCACTTGAATGACCAGACCAAGGTGACATCACTTCACTGCAGCACACAGAGGGTCTTAAAAGTGATCTGAGTGGCTCACATTACATTACCCGCTGACAAGCACTGGGGAAGTTTATGAGAGAAGACACCTCTAGGGTCTCTTCTGTTGTTAAACCGCTGCCTGCCAACAGATTTCTCAATAAGTGACTTTACTATTACTTTAAGCATTCTCAGGGAGGGTAAGCATTCCAATCACCTCTTGGCAAAACTCTTCTCTTTAGCAACAATATTCAAACAACATGTTTAGGAGGCCAAAATGGCCCTCCCTCCCATTCTGGTGTTTGGGCGAAGTCCTCACAGACACAATCTGTTCCTAGAAGATAGCTCCCATAAACAGGATAGATGGGGACTGAAGATTAGGCCACAGCTCCTAAATGGAGTCAGGCAAAAGGTAACTGGTCAGGCTCTGGGCCTACCTATCAAGTCGGAACCTCTTAGTCTCTCCCTAGTCTCTCAGTGCACAGCACAGTCCAGGAAAGCAGTCTCTAGGTTCCACAGATCTTAATCTCTCATGGAGCAGTCTGAATCAGTAGCAGAGTGACTCAGTCCAACTGCATGCAGTTTCATACAACAGTCTGGAATTCACAGTGGTTGATCTCTGCAGCTTCTTTTTTCTGAGAAGCACAGCTCATCCACAATGTGGCTCACAGAAGCAAATTCCCTTGCTTCTCACATGTAGCTTGGTAGCAGCAGCAGTCTCACTGTCCTGGACTCCTGGCACACTCAGGCCCAGGCAGAGCTCAGTTTAACTAAAACAGGGCTCAGTGCTCCAGGGTCCTCTGCTTGGGCTCACAGTCACACATGTATCTGCCACTAGTTTCTGGAAAATGACAGCAATTTTTTTTTTTATATTTTACACAAAGTTGTCGCTATAATGGTATATTGCTCACCCCTGCCATGGGTATATGTGGAATTACACCCCAAAATACATTCTGCTACATCTACCGAGTATAGGGATACCACATGTGTGAGACTTTTTGCCAGTCTAGCCGCATTGAGGACCCCAAATTCCAATAAGCACCTTCAGACTTTTAAAGGGCTTTATTTCCTCATTACACTTCCTGACAATCTATCACAGTTAAGTAAAGCTTTTCTGATGTTCTTGTAGCCTTCACCTTTCTTGTGTCAAGAAATGATTTTCTTTCTCAGGCCTTGTGACATTTCTCTTCTATGTGGTGCCATTTCTGACAGCCTGAAATGGGAAGGGGTTTTCTTTGTTAAGTAACACCCTTTAATCAACTGTCTGCTGGACACCTGTTTAATGAATAATTAGACTCATCTGTAGTTGAATTTTTGTTAATTGTATTGTCTAAAAGTTAGCTATGCTCCTAAGACTTTCTTGAGGTGTATTCATTTTTGCAACATGGTCTTGAATGAATTTGTTAGGAAAAATAATTTTTTGTGTGTGCAGATTTTTGTGTGTTATGTTCTTTTTTCTATGCAGCCTGTGAGCTGAATAAAAAAAAAAGAATATATCTCTGCCAGAAAAAGTTTGTGGTATGCTCACTAGTAGAATAAACCACCCTGCATCCACCCACTTCTAATATTGGCCATACATGAAATGTACATTTTTTTTTGTTCAGGCCCTGGGCTGAACGAAAAAAAAAAGAACCCAACAGATTCCTCTGTTCACATTGATTGATGTGAATGAAGAAATCTCTGCCAAATTTTTTTTTTTAAATATATGCCGAAGCATAGGAGCGATCCACCCACTGACCACCCCAGGCCCCCATGCTTGGATATATATTTTCTTTTTTTTAACTAAGGATGAGAAATCTCATCCAGCAGTGCTGCATGCACTGACGTATATTCTGACAGCACACCTTGTTGCCGTCAGAATAAATAGATTGATGCTGCAGCTGAATGGCGTTCCTGCAAAGAAAACAACATTGGTTAACAATAAAACAGTAACAACAGAACAGTAACTGAATAAAACAACAACTTTTGTATTGAATTCTATGCCAAAAAATATTATAAAAATATACATGCTGAAGCATAAGAGCAATCCACTGTCAAGGTCCTACCTTTCCTCGGGGCTTGTGCTGCTCCATGTGCTGGCATCCATCTTAGGTGTCTGCAAAGATCCTTTATACTTTCAGCCCTCTGCGGAT